GCCGAGCCGAGATTGGCTTGACGCGTTGTCGGGCAGGCCGTCGGTTGCCGACTATTCAAGCGGATCGCTGTTCTGAATTTGATTTGGAAAATCATTTGTTTGTGCACGAAAAGGCAGCACACAACCGCTCGGGAGATGAGCACCTTCTCCCTCAGCTGCTCCGAGGGGGACAGCTGATCCAAAGTTTTCGATTTGCCTTTCTCCTCAGGCAAAAATAACGTCTATGCGCCGGCTGGAAAAGGGACCCCGAGCGAAGCCCTCCCCGCCTCGGGGCTCGGCCCGAAAATAATTCAGACGGAAATTGCGCAAATGGAACGTGGCGCGTGAGAGCACAAAGCAGTCAAAGGGCTCACTGCACTTTGGGGGGGATCATTTCACAAAGACGGCAAGCACTTGTCACCTTGCAAATTCACCGAATTCTTACCATGAAGAGGGCGGAGTCATCCGTGTGGGTGGAGCGTCGACAGGGGTAGATGTTCTACGTACACACGCGCACACACACAATTGACAGATCCACGCAGCCACACCCCCCCACAATGTGAGTGATGGATGATAAGGGGGCGGGACGTGAGGAGGGTGTGGGCGGGGCTACCTTGGCTTCCTGACCGGGCTTGTTTGGACTCTGCGGACAAAACACACGCGGGAAAACTGGTCAAGTTTCACAGCTTGGAAGCCCCCGTCACACCAAACAAAAGGCCGCTGCAAAATTCCTCTTCAAGCTCGGTTTCTTCGCCTGTTCACTCCTAGAAGGAGCAACCCATTTTTTCCTCTTACAAGCTTGCAAAGGGCAACTTTCAAAGTCGTCCCCCACCGCTCCCCACAACAAACAGTTTGTTCCGTGTCCAGACTCATCACCGGGGGAGAAAAAAAACTAAGGCGAACGATGAATGTTCCGTTTGAAAAATCTCCCGGAACGTCCCAGCCCCCGCGCCGCGCCGCGCCGCGCCGCCGTACGAGTGGAAGGGACACGTTTGTTTGCTGAGGGGGATGCGCGCGATGGGCCGCCGGCCGGTACCTTGGCATCTCTCTGCGGGGCGCGCGTCCTGTGTCGCTCCTCGTCGTACCTGAGGGCGGCCAGCTGAGCCTCTCGCCTCATCCGCTCCACGCTCAGAGGCCGACGCCCGCTCACCTGAATTTGGTCACCGGGTGACGCCGGGGCACCGTCCGCCGCGCTCCTGACAGGCGCACACGGAGGACGTCATCTCAAGCGCAAAGACTGCGCGCGCGCGCGTGCGCCTGCGCCTGCCTACCTGCTCTGCCTTTGTCTGGAGTCATCTGTTCTGGAGAAGACAGCTTTGCCTGGAGAACCCTGAGCAAACAAACAAAGGGACACCAACGGGGGGAATCATGAAATCATTAAAACACAAGACAAACAAAATCTGAGGAACAAACAGTCCAATGGATTCAAAAAAAAAAACAGGAATGAAATCCAAACAAGCAACAAAACTAAACTAAAAGGACAGAGGAAAAACTAACAACAAATAAAGGAAGAAAACAAAGGGATATTCCAAGCAGCGAGCTGCAAAGTGCGTGTCTCTTGCAAGCAAACAAAGTAACGATGAAAAAGAGGGCCCGAAGCTTTTTTTCGGAGGCGGGACAAAGGGCCTCATTTGCAACTAAGGGACGTGGCGAAAAGAAGACGATCTGGCGGCGAGGCACCGTATTGCTGATGCGTCTCTCGATGTAGGCCATGAACTGCGAGCTGAGGCTGGCCCGTTCTCCCGCTCCTCGCTCTCCTCCCGCCGCGCTCCCGGCCTCCTCCTCTTCCCCCCCCTCGCCGTCGATGAAGTCCATCTGCTCCAGCTCGTCTGCGCACAGCGTCAAGACACGCACGCACGCAACCGGGTGACTTTGCCGCACGCCGCCCTCCTTCGGGATCTCACTCGCGCGCCGGTGCGCTCACGTGTCCCGTTGGCCAGCAGGGGGGAGCGCGCCACCCCTCGCTTCGGCTCTTTGTGGACGTCCAGCACGCGGGCGGGAACTTCTGACAGCTCCTTGTTTTATGTACACACACACACACACACACACACACATAAGGAGGTCATAAATCTATCATGTCTGCCAATGATGAAGTCATCAATCTATCACACCTGACGGTAACATCCTAAAAAAAAACCTTATGATATCTCCGTATGATGATGTCATCAATCTTAACATTTCTCAAATTAGGATCCATCATCACGGAGGGGGGGGAAAAAATAAAAAATAAAGCGATTCAACCAGCTTGTTTTCTTCAATTTCTTGTCGATTTGAATGCCTGCGGATACGAAGTGCGTAACAGACAGGCTGGAGTAGCTACTTTTCCAACTTGCGACTAAATAGAGGTGGTCCCTTTTCGGCAAACGGAATTGTACGGACCAAGGGGCGCTCATATTTCTCCAGACATGGAGGTCACGCTGTGTCCGTGTGTGTTTCGAACCTCATTTGCTGACCATCTTTTGTCTCCGCTGTCCACACTGTTGAAGCCTGAATCCAAGGCTCCGTAGGGCCGACCGGGGTCCGGCTCATCGACGCTGACGAGCGCACACACAGACGCACACAGCAGCGGCACATGAGGCTCTTATTTGTAAGGCTCGCAGGATGTCAAGAGGTGAGGGACCGAGAACGCGGTCGTGTGTGCGCGTGCGCCCGCGGCGAGTTCAGACCAGGATCCGAAGTTCAACGTTCGTCTGTCGTATTCCGGGAGGTCGAGGGTCGTCTTGCTGGCCTCCATGTTGAGGAACTTGAAGATGTGAACTTTGCCCTTGATGCAAATCTACACAACACAAGATGACGGACAACCGATCACTATCGTCACCATGATGACGGCTACGTTTCGAACCTGAGCGCGGAACGGTGGGAAGGAGGATCGTTTTGTCCAAATAACCCGATGGCAAATGACGCGCGCTCGTCCGTGGCCGTCTTCTTCCAACCGGCGCGCATGCCAACACGTGGACCGCCTTCCCCGATCATCGAAATCCATACATGCGTACGTACGCTTCTTTTTGGGAGAGGAGGAGGAAAAGCTCAACTTTGCTCAGCTCGTCCTCAAACCGGCACGCAAGCCAATTGCCGTCATCCAAATGTATTCTCACGCGCGACGACTCGCCTAAGTGAGCGTCCGAGGCAGATGGGCGCAGGCCAGCCGGTCCAGGCGGCCGCCCCTTTCCCCAGCCGGGATGAGCATCGAATCCCGTCAACGGCACGCGCGCGGCCGGGTATCGTCCCATTTCCAGTTTCCCATTCAAATTATCCGACTTGACGCCATCCTTTTTCTCTGGCGCGCCGCACAAGGAAGAAGCGGGCTCGTATTGGCCTTGGAGCAGCAAAACCGCTCCGACGGTCGGCTCCCAATTGTAGCGTTTTTTTCCCATTTTGACGCGCGCCGCCCGCAACGGAGCGTCGGAAGCCGTGGTATTTGCGGGCTACCTGCGCGGGCGGCGTGTGGAGCGGGTTGTTGTCCAGCACCATGGTGTGCAGCTGCGACAGGCGCGTGTAGCACAGCGGGATGGTCGTCACCTTGTTACACGAGAAGTCCAGACGAACCAGCGGCAGCTCGGCCAGCTCTGAAAACACACAAAAGGCTGTCGCGCAGAGCCACAAAAGACGCAAAACCGCGACGGAAGAAAACGCTTCGGTGAACTGGAAGAAAAAGTTTGGCGAGCCAAAGTGCAGCGTCTCCACGCCTGAGCCGATACCTCGCCCTTTTGAGAGTTTTCAGAGATTTTCGAAGCCGAGAAAATCTCGTTTTCTGACACGTCAGAAGGACGCAGCGAGGAAGGGGCATGAAAAGCTAAAAGTAAGCTGTTGTACGTGTACCTGGAGGAAGGGCCACCAGGTGGTTCCTCCTGATGTTCAGGTCCCTCAGCGCCTCCAGCCGGCCAACCTGAGACGGCAGCGTCCTGATCTCGTTACAGCTGACATCCTGCGGGGAGGCGGCAGCGCTCAGGGGTCGGCCTCGCTCGCGCACGGGCCGGCGCGCGTCTCCGGCTACCCACCAGCTCCGTCAGATGCCTCAGCTGGCCCACTTCCTGAGGCAGCGCCACCAGCTTGTTGTTGCACGCGATCAGAACCTTCAGCGGGAGACTGCACAGCACCACCGGCAGCGCCGACAGCTGGTTGCGACTGATGCGGGCGTACAGCGGCAGTGAGCGACAGACGGCGGGGGCCGCGTTCCCTCGCGACTTAGCGTGCGCCTGAGCATTCACGCACCAACTCCCAGAGCATTCCACGGTGAGCAACATCCGCGTATGCTGCGACGAGAAGCAATTTCGCGTGTCGTTTCACCTGCCGCGCATGTTTTTGGAATGTGGGAGGAAACCCGAGTACCCGGAGAAAACCCACGCAGACACGCGGAGAACATGCAAACGGCACACAGGGAGGCCGGAGCCGGAATCGAACCCTGCACCTCTGCACTGTGCGGCCGACGCGGTAACCGGTCGTCCGCCGGGCCGCCCTCGGTCATTTCCTCCAACTTAAAAAAACATTTCGAGTTACCCGACCTGACAAAGGAGCCTCATTGAAGGGGCCCGCAAACTCCGCCCACGTCGGTGGAGTTCCTGAGCGCAGAGTCGCGTGTTGCCTGCGGCGTCTCGTCAGTGGTGAGTCCGAGTGTGACTGTGAGTGTCAATGTGGGCTTCAAAGGAGAGTCGAACAACTGATTGCGCGCACGACTGAGACTGGGAGGGAAGTGGCAACGGTGCGGCGCCCTGTTTGAAGATTCGACCGGGGCGCATACGAAGGAACGGGTGCGGAAAGGTCATATGTGTGTGCGCGGCAGCGTCACCGTGGCGTCTGCTGAGAGGGTGAGACGAGTGCGCAATTGCTCACGGGCGCAGCTTGGAGGGAACACTGGCGAGCGTGTGCGTGCGTGCGTGCGTGCGTGCGTGGGTGGGTGCTACCTGAGATTCAGGTAGGTGAGGGCCTGCAGGTTGATCATGTGATCGGGCAGAGATCTCAAACAATTCTGGTAGACGTTCAAACTCTCCAGAGACACCAGCAGGCACACCTCCGGCGGAAGATCCGACAGGCGGTTCCGAGACAAGTCTGCACGAGAATGCGCACGCACACGCAAGCGCTATTAGGCGCACAGCACAAGCACAAGCACATGACTGACGCTATCTTCTTTACATGACGCCTGACTTGTAAGCGGGCATTCATAATCATTCCTTCTGGCTTGATGAGATGAGCTAATAACATTTAGTTTGACGTTGATGTGCAGCTGCAGTTGCGCTGCCTAAGACAGGCGTACTTTGCAATCGGCATATTGCACCTTAGCTTCTTTAATGAAGGGTGAACTGATCCCCAAGTTTGGACATTTTGTCTTTCCTCCTGGCCGGCGCTTTTGGCCACCTGAGTCAGCTGTTACAGTCCACGTAGAAAAACAATCGCAGCAAAATCCCACGATACGGCCGCTAATCCTCGTTATACGACACATAAAAAAACAAAACAAAAAAAAAAAGAGTCTGCAATCCAGTGAAGCTGCAAAAAGTCAACGGCGATACCGAGAAGGATGACTGGAGGCACTCCATGCATATATTTTTGCACACGCCCATGATTGGCATCTTCAGATGAACTAAAGAGCGTGCGCCTCATCAATGACACCCAAAGGAGTTGCTAAAAGCAGGGGTGTCCAACGTACGGCCCGCCGGCGGGCCCAGAACACAATCGCAACACATGACCTGCAATTTGGTGATGAGGATAACCGTTGTTGCTAATTGCGTCCCGCTGCCGAGCATGTCAACGACATTGGGAAAAGCGGCTGCCTCTCTGGCTTTGACCATGCCCTTGTCAAGGCAACGTGGGAACAGGAAAAGCAACATGACAAGTAAGCACGTTCGCCGACTGCTAATTCACCCTGGAGGAGGTGCTGCAGCCTGCACTGGATCCAAAAAAAACCCCATCAAAGACGTCCTCGTAACCTTCAATGGAGAAAAACTGACACAGAGCAGGTGCTCTTCAAACTAGACAAGGGGGGAAAAAAAACGGAACTAAAAAGTCGCGGCACTGCGTCACACTCCCGCGGGAGTCCTCATCCCGGCGAATGGCAACATTTTGGCTGCGCTGCAGTCAATGAACGTGTGAATGCACTTGCCTGCCGCCGAGCTTTGTTGCCGTCTCTGTTTGTGTCATTCATTGTATCCGATTGGCTTCCAAGAAAAGGAGCGGGCTCGAAAACCCGCTGCCCAGTCGGCAGGTTATTTCACAGTCACGCTGGTTGAACTTTGGGCTCAAAAGAGACCGAATTGATTTCAAGCCACGAAATCGTTTTGGGTGGGATGGTTCGAAATGAAGCAATATTGTCATTGAATCGACTTGGCGGCCGGCAGTCGCGATTCCAATTGAAGGGTCGGGAAAAGAAATCATCGCGCCCCTCACGCTGATGTCTACATTTGCACGGCAGGGTGACAAAAAACTGCTTTTCTATGGCGCGACGAGTCACTCGAGGCGGTCACATTTTCCAGAAGGCTGCGCGGCCTGAGACCGGGGTCCATTTAAGATTCTTCCTAGGTCTCAACACGTTGTTCTATGCATTTGTTTTTCTTTGATCTGTAAGTTGCACACTGTCGACGTCGTTTCGTATTTGTTTTCAGATTGTTCCTAAGTATGAAACGAGACAAGAATAAAACAAAAAGTGAAAATGTCCCTTTACACCGGGCCCACGTGGAACATTTGGAATAGTTGTTATCAGTCGTTGATTTGAGCCATTTGAGCTCACATTTGGGCTGAATGCGGCCCCGGAACTCAAAGGAGTTGGATTTGACACCGCTGCTTCAACGCACTTCAAGCATTAGCAGGATGCTAACGCGCTAGCATCACCAAAGTTGGCAAAGTGTTCTTCCCTTAAAGTGCTCCCTCAAGTGTCCCCGAGGTGACAAACGCTCGCGTTGTCACTTCACCCCAACGAAGACGACAACGAGCCGACGTGACCGAAAAGTCCGACTTGTGACCGAATGCTTGAAGCAACATGTTGTTGTCACTCGGAAGCGACAACTTTAGACTTGGACAGCAGCTACAAAGTTGCTCGGAAGCGTCACCAAAGTGCTCCGGGAACATTTGGACGACCGCTACGGCTCGGCGGAGGGGCGGAGGGGGGGTCCCGTGGAGAGCCGCCCCGCGGAGACTCACCGGCCCGGGTGGTGTCGGTCAGGTCGTGGTTGGCGGCGCCGCGGGGGAACTCCTTGAGCTTCCTGCCGCTGAGGTTCAGGCAGCCGGTGGCCGAGGCTTCGTCCAGAGCCCGCTCCAGAGAACGGTTCCACGGCACCGGGCCCGCTACCGACACCAGGCCGTTGTTACAGGCCACGAGGACGCTCCCCGCGCCGGAACCGGTACCGCCGCCGCCGCCTCCAACCGCAAAGCCGAATCCGGTGTTGTCCGCCGCAGAGCCCAACAACACCGAGGCCGCCATTACACTCCGGTTGGTTGCTAAGCTCGCGGAGCTAATGCTAATGCTAATGCTACCACTCCCAGCCCAAACTTTGGACAAGCGCGTGCGCATGCGCACAACGCCGGCCAACGTTGCCGCAGAAACTCCTGTCCTCTATCGAGCCTGTTTTCGACGTCTCCTTCCTTCCAACAGACTTGATTCAAATGATCAGAATCGTTATCAGATTCTCGCAAAGGTTGCTGATGAGTCGATCATTTGAATCAAGCCTGTTGGAGGAGGGAACCATGTAACGTGGGCAGGATAGGGTTTCAGTATTGTCATCTTAGTTCCCCTCAAGGAAGAGCGCAAAAGCAATACGCTCATAAAGCAGTCCAACGTTTGCGCGAAGTTCATCCGGAAGTCGACTTCACAACGCCAGAAAAGACGCCGCGGAGTTTCTGGACTTTGAAAGACTTCAACTCCCGCGATTCTACGCGGTCTCGTCACTTTGACGCCTGACGCATGCGCGCGCGGCGGTCGGCTGCGTCGGTGTGTGTGTGACCATCATGGCGGCGGCCTATGTGGAGATCTTGAGGAGCGAGTTTCCAGACATCGACTCGGAGTTGTTCGACTACATCACGGGTGAGAGGCCGAACTGCCAGTCGCCGCGAGCCCTGGGTCGGCAGGCTTTTAATTCGGGGAAATCCGTCGCTGCCCTCCTCCGGGCCAGAGGAGCGGTGGCGGAAGCAGCCTGCTAGGTGGAGGCAGCTATGCGGCTACCCGGCGTGGCTCACCGGGATGTCCGAGTTTGGTGCTAGCTCTCCGGTTGCGCGGCTCAACCCCGCCCGACCGCATTTGCCACGGAACCAAAAATGCATCAAGCGCGGCGCTAAACGTGTCGACCAAGGACAAAGCTATTTTCCTTCCGTTATGGCGTTTCGAGTTCCATTTTAGAAAAGGCGAGTGGGTAGCAACTGTGACACGTTTTCCAAAAAGGGCATTTGATTTACACGACACCGGTATTAGCATTAGCAAACAAATCTCTTCAAGAGGAGTCCAGCGATGTGTCATTTTCATGTGCTGCAAGAAATTAGCACCGCTTCAAAACGCACCGATCTCTGGCCCTCTTGTGAAACTCAACAGTGGCTCATCAATAAAAGAAAAGATTTCTTTCCAGTCGGGCTCCACCTCAAAGCCATTTAATAGTCCGTTAATCTGCGGATTTATTTTGAATTTGTTTTTTTGGGGGGGCGGTGGATAAATGTGATTACTTTTTGTCTTTCAATCATAATGGAAAAATGCACGAATAAAAATAGATTCTGATTCTGTAACAGCTGTCAAAATTGTTGATCATTGTTTTCCAAATGTCCAGCACAAAGGGACTCGGTCCGCTTTTACGGAGGACTTCAGAAATCGGAGAATATTTACTGCGGAGAAGCTGAAGTCAGATCATTTGGACAATTTTTACCAAAACAAAGTGTTGAAACAGTCGATTGTCAAAATAGTTGTTGATTCATTTCATGTTCATAAATTGTTGCATCTTGACTGAAAAGCTTACATACTATGTAAAAAGAGGCTTGATCGGATTATTCAATGGGATACTCGATAAAAGAATTGATTCTAAGAAGGAGAAAAAAAGATTGTTGCAGACCGAGTAAGAACTGTAAAAAAAAAAAGAAAGAAAGACATCCCCAAAAATCAGTGTTATAGTGGACCCGCACAAACTGAACCGTGACATCGTCGAGGCTTACTGTCCCTTTTGTGTTTGCCTCAGGCGTGCTGGACGGCTGCGGGGCCGACTTCGAGGATGGCGAGGAGGTGTTTGAATGTGCTGCAAGAAATTAGCACCGCTTCAAAACGCACCGATCTCTGGCCCTCTTGTGAAACTCAACAGTGGCTCATCAATAAAAGAAAAGATTTCTTTCCAGTCGGGCTCCACCTCAAAGCCATTTAATAGTCCGTTAATCTGCGGATTTATTTTGAATTTGTTTTTTTGGGGGGGCGGTGGATAAATGTGATTACTTTTTGTCTTTCAATCATAATGGAAAAATGCACGAATAAAAATAGATTCTGATTCTGTAACAGCTGTCAAAATTGTTGATCATTGTTTTCCAAATGTCCAGCACAAAGGGACTCGGTCCGCTTTTACGGAGGACTTCAGAAATCGGAGAATATTTACTGCGGAGAAGCTGAAGTCAGATCATTTGGACAATTTTTACCAAAACAAAGTGTTGAAACAGTCGATTGTCAAAATAGTTGTTGATTCATTTCATGTTCATAAATTGTTGCATCTTGACTGAAAAGCTTACATACTATGTAAAAAGAGGCTTGATCGGATTATTCAATGGGATACTCGATAAAAGAATTGATTCTAAGAAGGAGAAAAAAAGATTGTTGCAGACCGAGTAAGAACTGTAAAAAAAAAAAAGAAAGAAAGACATCCCCAAAAATCAGTGTTATAGTGGACCCGCACAAACTGAACCGTGACATCGTCGAGGCTTACTGTCCCTTTTGTGTTTGCCTCAGGCGTGCTGGACGGCTGCGGGGCCGACTTCGAGGATGGCGAGGAGGTGTTTGAGGCGGTGGGCGGCGTCCTGCAGGAAGTGTCGGCCGACACGAAAAACGAGGACGACGTCCGAGGCATCTGCTTGAGGATGTTCAACACGCTGCGGCTGTGAGCGCGCGTCCGCTTCCGGGCGTCGTCGCCTCCGCGCACTCGTGACCACATTGTCCTCTTACACCTCCTCATGCCTCGATGTGTGTGTTTTCAGGAGCGGCTGTCCCGCCTCGCAGCGTCAAGTGTTGCTGGACGCGCCGGTGCAGCTTTCCCAGATGTCGCCGGACACGAGTGAGCAACCGCTGATGTGGGCGTGCGCGCCTCTGTGCTTCTTGCCGTGGCTGACCTGTTTTTTGTTTTTTTTTTCCCTGCTGCTGCTGCTCCGCATAGCCTTGGCCAACGACGACGTTCAGGGCATCTGGATGATGAAGCGTCCTCAGAACACGGTACGTCCTTCTCTGCTGCCGTCAAGAGTAGACTCAAACTCAAATTTCTTGTCATTCGGTCAAAGCGCGGCAGCTGCAAGCTGAGCCTACCCGTCGCCGTGATGTCATTTCCAGTCGGCAGCAAGTGGCAAAATGGCCGCCCCCTGAGATGCCGCAAAATGGCTGCATTTTGCTGCGTCATTCATTCAAACGCAATATGAATCAGAATGTCATGTGTAGAGCAGTGGGCACGCATGGAACGTACGGTATTATTGTCAACTTGAAAAAAAAAAAAAAAATCAGACATTTGTCACATGAAAAAAAAAAATCGCAAGAAGTCGGGTGTTTGGACAGGTTCTGTTCATAATTATTGATTTTTTGGGCAATTTTGAAATTGCCCAAGCACTTAAACGGCGCACGTCTTGTGGCAAAGCAACTCCGCCCGGGTTGAAAATCGAGCGCAGCCGAAAGAGCGCCGACGGCGAACATGAAAGATGTCGTCCTGTGTGTCCGTCAGATGGTGGACACCAAGAAGCTGGAGAAGGCTGAGGCCAAGCTGAAAGCCAAACACGAGCGACGCAACGAGAAGGACTCGCACAAGGCGCCCGGTCCGCTGTGGGTCTTTGTCTCCGTCCCGCCGGATCGGCGTTGTCCCGTCCGCCTCGCGCCGGCCCGTCTCATTTTCCTCTCCTGTCCGCACGGCGCTGGCGCATCCTGCCGGCGGTGGCCTCAGTGTCCTGGAGGAAGCCTCGGCCAGTCAGGCCAGCAGTAAAAAAGAAGGACGAGCCGACCAGGCGGGAAAGAACCGCAGCTACGACATCCGAATTGAGAACTTCGACGTGTCCTTTGGAGAGAGGTGAGTGCTCGTCGGCCGCCTCGACGGCGACTTGGCGCCTTTGCGAATGTGTCGTGAGAGGTCATGCCCGGCCGGCGTGGTGCCCTCGACACGTGCCGCCGTTCCTCTGTCTGCTCGCGCCTGTAAGCGGGTTCTTCCCGGAGTTTCGGAAAGCCCGATTTTGACCCCAAGTCAAAGATTGACAGGATGCCGAGATGCACGCAGCGGGAACTTCAGCCGGGGTCTCGTTGAACCGCTGCGTTTGGTCCTCAGGTGTCTTCTTCAGGGCGCCGAGCTGGCGCTGGCGGCGGGGCGGCGCTACGGCCTGGTGGGCCGCAACGGCTTGGGAAAGACCACTCTGCTGAAGATGTTGGCCGGCCGCAGCCTGCGCGTCCCCCCTCACATCTCCATCCTCCACGTGGAGCAGGAAGTGGCGGGCGACCACACCACGGCGCTGCAGAGCGTCCTGGAGAGCGACACGCTCAGGGAGGGCCTGCTTCGAGAAGAAGCGCGCCTCAACGCCCGCATGGCCAACGGAACGTGAGTACATGTGGGGGGACTCCGCAATGGCGAATGGGTTGTTTCGAAGGGCCTTTGAAGTGCCCGTTGCTCAACTGAAACTGGATCCTGAGAAACGGGATCAAACGAAAAAGGCTTGGGGACATGTTTGAAGAAATCTTTAAGTTTGCACTCTGAGGATAAGCCCAGAGTCCCCCAACCCCAGGCTTTCTCTCAGCGATACCACACCAAAGCCTTCGCCAGAGCGTCCGTTATTATGACGAGTATTTTTGTCGTGCTCCGACACAGCTTTAGAAATGTTGCCAATTCTGATACTCGCGCCATTCCGAGCAGCCGGTCACATCTTGGCAAATGCCGTCCTGTTGCCGTTCTGACGGCTCGGACCGCCCGTGCTTTTGCTTTCAGGGCCGAGGGGATGGAGAGCATCCGTCTGTCTGAAATTTACTGCAAGCTGGAGGAGATCGAGGCCGACAAAGCCCCCGCCCGGTGTGTATGTGCGCGCAAGTGAGGCGTTCCGGTCGGACTCTTGCTGAGCTGTCAGTTTTTGATTGACGTCTGTCATCTAATCAGAGCCTCCATCATCTTGGCCGGTCTTGGGTTTTCTCCCAAAATGCAGCAGCAGCCCACCAAGTGAGTTTGTACACGCACTCACGCACACATTAAATATCACGTATATATATGTGTGTGTGTGTGCGTGCAGAGAATTTTCAGGAGGCTGGAGGATGCGGCTGGCATTAGCAAGAGCTCTCTTTGCTCGGTGAGTCCCTTCCAAGTTTTCTCACAGCTGAAAATGGCTTGTGTCACACTTGACTGTCACATCTTCAATTGTGTGTGTGTGTGTGTGTGTGTGTGTGTGTGTGTGTGTGTGTGTGTGTGTGCGTGCGTGCGTGCGTGCGCCATCAGGCCTGACCTGCTGCTACTCGATGGTGAGTCCCTCAGCTGTGCTATCAGTGATAGCTGTGCTAATCGTACGAAACGGTAGGAGCACTTGAGGAGCGCGGCGGTCCCTTGAGGTGTCACTCTCACGAAGAATCTTGGTTTTCTGCAAAGTTGTTTGTGAGCTTTGATGGCAGCGTTCATTTTTCGGGTTGCTTTTTTTCAAGCGGCACCGCATCTCAAGTGAGCGCGGAATACATCGCATACGATGATTGAAAGCGGCGACTTGTCCGGTGCAGAAAGGGCCGAAGAAAAAGTGGAAAATCTCAAACGTGAACTAGAAGTGAACATGCAAGAAGCCGAAGAATAGAATGGCGCTCCAAGTCGTGTTGCTCCTCGCGTGGGCAGTGTTGCAGACACGCTCGATGTCGGTTGTAGCTTGTCGCGCAAAGCAAAAGTGGACTGAGCGGCGGCCTGGAACCGGGAAAGAACCCAGCGAGGTTCGGCGGAGCTTGCTCTACCGCAGCTAAAAGTGTGCGCCCCGCGTGTTTCCAGAGCCGACCAACATGTTGGACGTGAGCGCCATCCTGTGGCTGGAGAACTACCTGCAGGTCTTTGCCGCCCGCCGTCTTTGTAAGCGATGGCGAGCGTGAGCTTGGCGCTAGTGTAAATGCCACCTCCCACCTCCCTCCCCCAGACGTGGCAGTCCACCATCCTGGTGGTGTCCCACGACCGCAACTTCCTGAACGCGGTGGTGACCGACATCGTACACCTGCACTCGCGCAGGCTGGACAGTTACCGTGGCGACTACGAGAACTTTGTCAAGACCAAAGACGATCGACTCAAGAACCAACAGCGAGAGTACGAGGCGCAGCTGCAGTACAGGCAACATATACAGGTAAGGCACGCGCCGCAATTTTTTTCGGCTTATTTCGACAGCCGCTCGGACACGGGTGTCAAACTCGAGGCCCGGGGGCCTGATCCGGGCTGCCGCCCCATGTGATGTGGCCCGCGAGAACAAATCATGCGTGTCAACTTCCGCGATCCTTGCTCAAATCATTGTGTCACCCTGTTTCCACTCACTTGAACAAACAACCCAAAAAAAGAGTGGACTGATTTCAAAAGGCCTAATCCGTCAATTGCTCGTGTACGAGTCAGACTGCAATGAGACGATGAAGCATTGATTCGGTTTCACCGTCGTAATGGCCCTCCGAGGAAAGACGTCATTCACTCCAAAGTGGCCCGCGGCAAAAACCCGAGTTTTCTTTCCTTCTTCCTGCAGGTGTTCATCGACAGGTTTCGCTACAACGCCAACCGAGCGGCTCAAGTGCAGAGCAAACTCAAAGTGCTGGAACGATTGTAAGTCGTCGTCACGGTCGCGCGTCTCTCGGGACGATGGCCATTTTTGCCGAGGGCGGGTCGTGACGCCGACGTTTGCTCACAGGCCCGCACTGAAGCCCATCGAAAAAGAAGCCGAAGTGACGTTAAGGTACGAGCAAAGCCGCGCTCGACGACAGGGTCGAAGAGGCGGGCTCCGGTCTGACTTTTCTTTCTTTCTTTTCTTGGCCCGTCAGGTTTCCGGACAATTTTGAGAAGTTGTCTCCTCCCATCCTGCAGTTAGACGAGGTGGAGTTCTACTACACGCCCGACCAGCGCCTCTTCTCTGGACTCAACCTGTCCGCCGACCTGGAGTCTCGCGTCTGCATGGTATGTCTTGGGCAGGCCTCGCGTGCCAGAGGGGCGTCTTGAATGTATCGTCGATGCGGCAGACCTCTCTTCGACCTCGTCAATGAGGCGTAGGCTTCAGGGGCATGTGTCTTTGGTGTGTTCGAGAGGGATAAAAGCAGGTCTTAAACGTGTCCCGATCGTACCGCAGACATGCTTTGACCGCCTGATTGGTGTGTCTGAATCATTTCTTGGATTTGTCTCCAACGTGTCGTCGATCTGTCACGCAATGCGTCTCGCACGTGTCCGAAAGACAAGTGTCTTACACTCTTATCAGGTGGGCCAAAACGGCGCCGGGAAGAGCACGGTCCTCAAGCTTCTGATGGGCGAGCTGACGCCCATCAGCGGAGTCCGCCAAGCTCACAGGTGAGACAGCCGACCTACCGGCGCCCCCGGGTGGTCATCTCATGCGCTTACCCAGTACGGGTGGTCTCGTGCGTGCAGCGACTCCCCCCCCTGATTGTTTGCTCCGTTCAAGTCAGTGGAAATGAGTTGAAATGGCGCGACGAAAACATCACGGCGCGGCGCTGACGTTGCGCGCGTGTTGGCAGGAATCTGAAGATCGGCTACTTCAGTCAGCACCACGTGGACCAGCTGGATCTGAACGTTTGCTCCGTGGAGCTGCTCCTCAACAAGTTCCCCGGTAGGTCACGGCGGGCGCGTTTGACGCGGCGGCGCCGGCGCCATGTCACCGAGGGCGCGTTTGTCGCGGGGCAGGTCGGACGGAGGAGGAGTACCGCCACCAGCTGGGGGGTTACGGTATCACGGGAGAGCTGGCCACCAGGCCCGTGGCCAGCCTGTCGGGGGGCCAGAAGAGTCGGGTGGCCTTCGCCCAGATGACCATGCCCTGGTACGTGCCCGGCCGATCGTCCGTCCGTCGGTCCGTCGGCCCGCCGTCTGACGCCGCCGTCCGCCCTTTCAGCCCCAACTTCTACATCCTGGACGAGCCCACCAACCACCTGGACATGGAGACCATCGAGGCGCTCGCCACCGCGCTCAACAAGTTCAAAGTGAGTCCAACCTCAAACCGCCGCCGCCGTGTGGACTTTGGGCTCGTCTGACCGTTGAGGGCTTTGACTTTGGAAGCGGCCGTCTTTTGACTCTTGCGATGTTCCACTTTGGAGCTGTTTGACTTGTGCAAAATGTGACTTTGGGGGCCGTGTGCGGCAGGGCGGCGTGATCCTGGTGTCGCACGACGAGCGTCTGATCCGCCTGGTGTGCAAAGAGCTGTGGGTGTGCGAGGGCGGCCGAGTGTGTCGCCTGGACGGCGGCTTCGACCAATACCGGGACGCCCTGCACGAGCAGTTCAAGAGGGAGGGCTACCTGTGAAGTAGCCGCCACCCCCACCTCATCGTTTTAGTGCACAGATGCTCTATTTACTAAGAAAATAAAACCTCACACATTGTGAGCCACTTCACGTTTTTGCCTTCAGGAAGCCAAATGCTGCACCTCAACCTTGCTTGCCCAACATCGCAAATAAGTTTTGAAGCTGATCCAGAAACGACACGCGTTGAAAGCGTTCAGGAAGCCTCGATTCCCGAAGATTTTGGGAATCCTCTCGGAGAACCGCTAACTTAACGTGAAAATAGCTCGTGAGGATTTTCGGCTCTGGAGAGATTTCCACTAGGGTAATGTTGGCTCGTTTCCTCTGCAACTCAGAGCCTTGCGGGATGCTCTCCCAAGTGCTACATGACCCGCAGCGTCATCTGCGCGGCCCACCAGCCACATCCTGTTTTCTAGTCCGCTTTTTACAAAGAGTCCAGTTGCCTCAATTCAGCCCCCTTGACCTTTACTACGGACGATCCAAACAGGCATTGGTTGTTGGTGGCTGTTCTCTCCTAATTGCTAACTCGTGATTCATGAATTGTTGGCAATCATTTCCTGTCCCCTTTCCACTACCAAGGGATTTGGAGTGGCCATTTTCGTCTTTCGGGAGAAGGGCACGAGTGAAGCATTTGATATCGTCTCTTGGGGCAAATTGGGCATTTCCGTAGTCAACTTCGGGACAGCGATCGCGTTTCATATTTGTTTTATTCTGAGAAAAGTTTTCGGAAACATCGGTGGCATCAGTACTGGAAGCTTCTCTTGGTCTGGATGTCATCCAGAATCTGCTGCAGCTCCTCGTCTTCAAAGCGTCCCTCCAAACTAAAAGTGGACACGCGGTCACGGCGCTCATTCATTGTACGAGCGAAATGATTTGAGTGGGAGGCCCGGGCTCACCTGGGGATCAGGGACTTGGCTTCCTCGGCCGCTTCGGGACACAAGTTGGCCAAACTGGCCAACTCGAACTTGTGAAGCTTTTTCTGAAGGAGAAGGCTGCCGGCCGAGAGCAAAACAAAACATCATTCACAACAAGTATTGGCGCAGTATTGTGTGGTGAGCAGAGGCCAGCACCCCCCACCACAGTTGCATTAGAGTCCCGCTGCGTCGAGGGAAAAGCCGCAAAAAAAAAAAAAAAAAGGTTAGAAATGCCGACAGATGCCACCAAAACTTTCGTCTAAAAAAAAAGTACCGGGCAATCAAAGTCCGGGCTTAGGTTGACAGTCCCTTGGGACCGACGCTTCAAATTACAAATGCAATACTTTTGAATGAAATTCACTAAGAAATCACTTCTAGAACAAAGATTCTCTCTGGAATACTTTGCACGGACGTATACAAGCATCTTTGGCCACTGCTGCAAAGCCCGTCAGCAGAACGTCTTCCGACTTCAAGGCAAAGCGAGCTTGAGGGAAACAAAACATGACCAGTTTGTTTCCCTGCTTGTGTTAAATAAAGGGTCAGCCAAAAGGCTCGTTTCCCGTTTTATAATTTCAATTTCTCAACGAGGTGCGGTAGCTGGCTCGTTCCCGTTCAATGGAGACGGCAACACCGCCTCCTAGCGGACGGAGACGGCGTGTGTGAGATCTTGAAACGGCGTGAAGTCGGTCTCGAAAAAGGGCGCGTGCCCGCTGATCCACAAACGCACATTCGACAATTCACACGCAGAATCGAATGTTTACACGATACATTCTCACACAAATGTATATTTGTAAATCTTAAGAAAAAAAATAATAAATCCGTTTGTGTGAATAGTTTCGAGAACAGCGTGTGGCTCAAGAGGTGTGAAGGAAGGCCGGGTCGGCATTCGATGCTGCACCTGCGCACGGCCGTGATGGTCTCTCGGTTCTTGAAGCGGCTGAAACGCACGGTGTAGTTGAGGGTCTTCATGAAGACCTCGGAGAGCTCCTGCTCGTCCTCGGCGCTCTCGTTCTGCTGCTTGCGGTGCTCCAGCAACATGCGCACCTCCGAGTTCAACAGCGTCTCGGAATTCTCGAACTCTGAAAGGGAGAGACCGGAGAAAGCGATCGAATCCAAATGCTTGATGCGTTGTTTCCATGCATGGTCTCTCCTGCAGAAGACGACGTCAATTCGCGTTTCAAGCGCGAAACTGGAAAAGGGTGCTCGTCGTCTACTCTGCATGCGTGTGGAACAAAAGCCGAGTCATTTTGTTTTTTTTCGAGAAAGTCCCAAGAAAAGAAAACAACAACAACAACAAAACAGAAAGAGATGGGAGGACTATTGCACGCGCACACATGGAGATGAAGTCGAGTTTCCGAACCTTTGGGAAAGAGCAACTGCGAGGCGTCTTCTTCCACATCGCCGACATGCGGGGCCGAGCCCGCGACCGCCATCCGACGAGGAGGAGACGCCGGCCGGCCTGCGGGAGAGCGAGCCAACGACACCAAAGCCGATGAGCGACCGAGAGAAGCAGACCGGCTGAACGGAGCCGAAAAGCCGGCCTTAAATCCACAACAACGGCTTCCGGTGCGTGGCGTTGACGCTCGATTTCCGCCTGATTCCAAATGCAGCGGCGCCCCCTGGCGGCCGGCGTCCACCTCGGCGACATTTGCGCGCTTTGGCTTTGGGCGCCAGCGGCGGCTGCGTGGCCCGTTCACTTGCGTACGCACCTCAAGGACCGCGCTCGAGAGCCTCGTGTTTCTCTCTGTCAGAGCCACACACGAGTGCGTTTCCTCATTCGTTTAGCCACCACGCGAGTTTTGGCGTCTGTCATGAAAAATGGCAGACTTTTTTTCGAATTTCTGAATTCAGCGTCCGTGCATTGGTCGTCTGATGTCGCCATGTTTGGTTTATTTGCCTCCCGCTTCTCGTTTTCACCACAGCCGCACCTCCCGCAGCTTGCAGCAAGCGTATTTCTTTGGTTCCTTCAACATCGGTTTTGGCGCCCTGAGCATCTGGCCAAATGGGCAAGCCGCTCTGACAAAGTTGCAAATTGATTTAACTCTCCTTTATGTTCGACATCTTTGGTATTTGAGACTTTGGAAACAAAACAAAGTGGAAGTGGTTGAATGTTATCCTTGTTTAATGTCTGACTTTTCAGATATATATGACAAGGTGGTTTCTTCCGCAGCCTTCACTTCGAACTAGGGTATTTATCTCCTCTTAATTGTTAAAAAAAAAA